CTTTTTACCTGATAAAAAAGTAAAGAAAAAATGCTAAACCTATATATATCGTAGAAGGCTAAAACCAAAAACATACCGAAAATAATCACACAAAAAATCTTTAACAAAAAACACATACCTATGTAAATAAATAAATAAATAAATAAATAAATAAACAAACTACTAACATATCAGAAAATATTTAAAGCTACTCACCACACACCCACACCCACACACACCCGCACACACGCACGCACGCACGCACGCACGCACACACACACACACCGCTTCCTCGCCCCGAATCAGCGGACGTCAACATTGGCACGTGGTCCAGGCGATGATGTCAACACTACCACGTGTCTCGCCCTTACGAGTTGCCAACTTCTCTTTTTTTTTTAGGGGGAGTACCTTCCTCACAGAGAACGAGGACATCCCACCCTCGCTGGCACGCTCGAGATAAACAAAAGACGAGCGTAAACAGCTTGAATCCTCTTTAGATTATGCGTGTCAATCCCGCAGTTCATTACAAATGGGGTGGGGGGGGGGGGGTGGACGGGTTCGAAAATTAACTCTATCGGTGCAATCTACTTTTAATGAGGCCACCTGTCTCGACAGTGCCACAGAAAGGTTTTTACAGGAAACTAAGCCTGATAACAAACGGGCGCCTCACCATCTCATAAACCAAAGCCGAACACAACACCACGACGAAAACACAACAAAAGCAAAATATAATACAACGTACAAGACAAAAAAGGCGAAAGAAGCAAAATACAAGAACAATAAAAAATACAACGAAAAAACAAGGAAACAAAAGTAAAAGATAACAAAGCAACCAAAACGAACCACAAGACAAGGAAATCGATAAACAACTATAACTACAACTAAGCAACGAAGGAAAAAAACACGCAAAAATATCCCATTACAACAAAAAAATAATAACAGCAAAGCACAACAAAAGCAAAAAAGCAAAACACATCAAAACAAACGCAACAACCAAACAACAGAAGCAAAATACCCCTCCCCCCCGCGAGTGCATGAAGGAAGTAAGGGAGGTCGAGCATGGGGGGGGGGGGTAGGAAAACTAAAGCACAAGGGGGGGGGCAGGAGGGCAGAGGAGGAACCAAAGGACGCAGGGGGGGGGGGGAAGGGCAGGGGGCAGGGGGCACGGAAAGACATTAAACATTCAAGAGAAAAGTGTTGCCTTCCCCCTCCCTCGAGAAAACCCGTGATGAAGGATAAAGGAGATAAAGATAAAGGAGAGTAAGAGAAGATGGCGAAGAAGAATGCGAGAGAAGATGGCAAACGATGAGAGAGAAATTATGAAATCAAAGATGAAGTACAAATTGGAAGAAATGTTCGGAGAAGAAGAGAAAGAAGGAAAGAAGAATAACAAGGCGAAAAAGACGAAGAAAAGTAGTAGCAGTAGCAGTAACAATAGAAGTAGTAGTAGTAGTAGTAATAGAAAAAGAAGTAGTAGTAGTAGTAGTAGTAATAGTAGTAGTAGTACTAGTAGTAAGTGATAGCAGTAGTAGTAGTAGTAGTAGTAATAGTAGTAGCAGTAATAGTAGTAAGTAATAACAATAGTAATGGTAATAATAATAATAATAGTAGTAGTAGTAGTAGTAGTAGTAGTAGTAGTAGTAACAACAGTAACAATAGCAATAGCAATAATAATAATAATAATAATAATAATAATGATAATGATAATAATAATAATAATGATAATAATAACAACAACAACAATGATAATAATAATAACAGCAACAACAATAATTATAAACAAACAACAATAACAACAAAATAATAATAATAATAATAATAATAATAATAATACATGAAAGGAAAGAAATCAATACAAAAGGGGAGAAAACAACGAAGACAAGAAACCGCAGAAGCTAAGAAAAGTAAAAAATGCCATAAAACAAAAACATTATTCCAAAGACCAAACAATAAACAAAAACAAAACAAAAAAGGGCAAGTAAACAACGAATCAACACGACCAGAGGCACGTAATCCCCCCCCCCCTCCTCCAGCTTAAGGCCAGCTGATCCCCAACGATGATGACGAAGGAGAAGAAAATGATCACGAAAGAAAATAAAGATAGAAAATGAAGGATAATTTGATGATTATAAAGAAAATGAAAGTAAAGAAAACGAGAGACAACCAAGGAGGCAAGGAGGAAGAAAAAGATGACGAAGGAGAAGAGAATGATCATAAATAAAATAAAGACGGAAAACGAAGGAAATGACAAGAGTAACTTAAGATAATGACCAGAAAACCAGCGAAAACGAAAAACAAACGAAGAAAATTAAGAAGAAGAAAAAAAGAACACGAACACGAAGAAAAAAAGAAAAAAAGAAAAAAGCAAAACAAAAACAACAAAGAAAACAGTAAAAACAAACACACACGACTCACCAAGGCGGGCTGAACGCGGCGCAGGTGCAGCAGCCACGTGTAGTTGTCGCAAAGGCATCGCCAAGCACCTTCCACGTACTGGCTGATCTCGGGCACAGACAACACA